AGAAGTAAAAAAAGATATGAGAGAAAAAAACAAGAATTATTTAAACAATTTTATAAAATAGGATATTGTAGTTTAGACAAATATTTAGGTAAGAGAATTAAGAAAAAGAATATAGAAGATAAAAGGTATAAAAACCAGAACTTTGCTACATTAATGAAAAAATCCAATTAGCACAACTTGAATTTTACAAATATTATATAAGTTGGTTTTAAAAATTTATGTGATAATAAGCAAATATGACTATAGAGGAGGTGACTATAGAGACCGGACTGTATTTATATTGCTGCTGTTTAATGAAAGTTTATTAATAAAAACAAAACTTGCTGTTTATTTGCTATATACAACATATTACCCGACAATATACAAATTGGCAAATATTTTATCTTAATGTTCAATACAATGACACTACTAAAATAAGCATTGGTTAAATTTCCGGATGTTGAACTTAAATCAGGATGGTTGACTCAGGAACCCGACATCTTGACCAGAACCTAAAGAATTTCCCTTAGTTCTAGCAACAAATTGTTTATTAATACACTTTATAATTAAAAAAAAATGGGTTATAAAAACACAGGACTTTTGTATTTAGCGAATATTTATAATGAATGTTTGTTAAATGTTTGACTATAAAAAAATGTGTTCAGACGTATAAATGTATAAATTGCTTATTTTTTAAAATATACAATATGTAAGATAATGTACAGTGCTAGTGATGGAACACCTGTTAGTGATACTAAATTATAATTTTAAGTCGAGTGTGAATGTTAAACAATAATTACAAGAACACAATTAATTGTTTATTCTCGAAATGGGCAATCAATCCAAACCACACATACCAACTGATGCTTCGCATTAAACTTATTAAAACTATTGCGAATCGTAGGTGAAGAGTGGATATATACGTATATGGTCACTCCCATCTGTATCGTAAAATGTCAATCCTACTATCGTAATTTTCCTCGACCGTAAAGCTTATCTTTGTTCTTTTAACAATTTCATTTAAAGGCATACCTTCATTACTAACTTGATTAGTCTGATAACTTGACTCATTTTCGGTATTTGAACTCGCAGATCCAGAATGAGCATTTTCATTATCAAGTTCATAATTTTTATCTTGGAGACCATTTGAATTTGTTTGTTCATCAACATCCATATCCGAAGACGGAGGATCCCTCTCCGAAATAATTAAGTTTTCTAAAGTATTATATAATCTTTTCCAGATGAGATTAACGTGTTGATCTGTAATTCCTCTGCAATATCGGATATCAAAATATCTCAAAGGTGCTTTACAATTATCCAAAAAAGAGTTCAAAGCACGAAGAGTAAACATCCACGGTGCTAATATTTCCAAATGTTCCACACTCGGAGGTAAAGATTTTCCCAATTGTGGCAGAATTGCATCAGCAGCAATTTCCACATAACCCCAACTACTCAAAACTAATTTATTTAATCTCGGACAATTATAAAACGGGCATGATTTTAGGGCAAAGAAATGTGATTGATCAAGTTTAATTGTTAATTCTAACAAGTCAAGGTGATATTTCTCTATAGCATTTATTGCAGTAGTTGTCGTTTCTGCCGTCATAACTATAGAAAGGTACATTAAAGATTTGCTCACATGTTGTAAGAGTGTATCAAGCAAATCTGATTGGATGAAGCTGATACCTTCGTATCCGTTCATTACCAATTTTTTAAGATTCATAAAAGAGCAAAAACGAAATGGTTCCATTACGTATTCTTGATGTCGACAGTTATTGAACACCAAAGTTTCTAAGTTTATCAAACCTACTATAGAATTCAAAGGATGCCAAAACCTAAAATCAACATGATAAAATTCAACAACGGTCAGCGAATTTACCTGACTACTTAACAAAGAAAGTTCAACATTTTTTAGCCTTGAAGAAGGGCTCCACCAAAAACGACCAGGGTATTCAACAAATATAAATTCTTTCAAATGTTTTTGAACATCAATGAGTTGGGACAAAGCGTCAAGTTCACGCTGTGCTCTCTCTGTACTCCATTCATCATTCATACACATGCGTATAACTAAGGTTTCGATTTCATGACATGATGAAATCATATGCGAAACTCAATATGAGTGCGGGAGAGGGAAAAGAGCGCACTCGTTTTTTTTTGTAAGTTATTGATTATTTATCCGATTCAGCCCTTCTGA